CAAGACTATGCCTTAAACTGAAAAAAAAAAAAGCCTTCAGAAAGATTGCAGTTCTTAACTCTTTCTGATTAAAAAAAAAAAAAACCTACAAATGCAGAGAAAAATCCTTTATACAACCTCTAATGGCTACTCAGAATAATGGAGGCAGCCAACATCTATGATCCTCCCCTGTGCATCCCTGCATCTCCACAAGGCCTCCAGAGTCCACATGACCAAGACCCAGAAGCGTGCTTATGTAAATCCTTCCCACCTCCTGTCTGTCAAAGAGCAGTCCACACTTTGGCTACTCAAAGCTACTTCATTCAGAGGGTGGAAAGGAGAGGAGTTATCTGCAGTGAAAAAAAAAAGTGTAGGTTCTTCTTTTCGAAGACAAGAAGAGCTCCTATCTGACCCACAAGTTCAAGTCATGTTCCCTAAATAGTTATATTTCTTTCCATTGTTGTTTTATTACATAAAGTACATTCTGAAGGTCAGCAATCATTTACATAGTGTTTCCTAATAACCTCCAGAAAAGTAACTATAATCTTTGTATCAAGCCTTACAGGTGCTTTGAAGACCCAAAATGCCATGGATGATGATATTATTTCAACCGAAAAGACATGCAGTGGTTTGGCTATGGATAGCATGTCGGTCCTTGCTTTGTCACACCTTGCTCTTTAACAGAATCACTGAGAAACAACTTTGGCTACCTCTGTAGAGTGACTATTCCTGTCGGTACCATGTAAGATGAAGTGAGATAATGTATAAAACCACTTGAGAATGGGAAAGAGTTAAGGTCAGGCTATTGTATGATTAGGCCTTACTTACGGTAAGTTTGGAGGAAGAGGGGGAACCAAACCTGTGCAGGGATGCTTCTGCACTGTGACATCATGAAACTGGTTTCTGGTAAATAGAACTTGATTTTACAATTTAACTGAGTAGGATCCAAACTCGTTGCAATAAGGTGGGCCCTGCTTACAAGTTGCATGACAATTACACATTGCTTAATTAAGAACCTGTAACTGCTATAGTTGTCCTTGCTGCAACATTTAAGACTATCTAAGGTTAAGGAAATACTTCTTCAAGTTTATATAGTGCCTATGAACTTTACAATATCTAATATTGCATCTTTCTCTGCAGTAAAATAGAGATTGTAGGTAATATACTTTATTGTTTTGATTTATTATATTTATACTGTTTCCAAAAAGGATTTGAAGGAGACTACACGACAAATATAGTTGTCATTATTACAATTCATTGAGTTCTAGAATTACAGCCGATCTTGAAAAACTACTCATAAGGTAGGACCCCAATAAAGGAAATTATAAAACCAGGTCCTCTGAAAGTCTTCAAAGACATTAAGTTGTGGTTTTTCTTTGGAATGGTCTTTTAGAATGAAACAGAATTTCTTTAGAAAGAGATCTTTCTAAAGGATCTCTCTGGTTACTTTAATTCCTGTGACTCTTCAGAACAGAACACTATTGTGCCTAGTTAGTGTTAAGTATAACTCAACATTTTCTATTTTATGACACAACTGAAGTTATTTTTTCTTAATGCTTTACTGACCTTTTACGAATAGTTCCCAACTGCTTTTAGCTCTATAATATTCATTTAAGTCTAACTAATAATAGTGATAACAAAAATAATAATGGCAAATATTTGAGTACCCCTATGTGCTGTGTACCATGTTAAGTACTTTGTGAATGCATGAGTATGAGCTTATTTCAATATTCCAGGGGATTTTTATTTTAAATAGTATTCTTTGTTGACCTCTTTGCAAAGGAAATAATTTCCTTTAAAAGTTTAGATTTCTGTTTATTTAATTCATCAAAGCCAAGGCTTGCCTGCAAATAATATATGGATATATTTTTGTAGTGAAAGTGACAATAAAGTTTATTAGGAAAGGAATACACAATAGACTGAAAGTAGATCATTTCTAGATCAAGACTGAGAACAACTGGATATGTGTTTTTAAAATAATTTTACTTTCATGGTATCAGCTATAATGCATTTGGGACATACTGTGTGTCAAGTCTGTCCTGAACACTTTATACCCTTTCTGTCCTTGTATTATTATATTACAATAATCCCAAGGAAAAATATTTTACCTTAGGTGCAAATTTTAAAACTTAGTTTTAAGACAAGCAAGGAGCTTGCCTAAATATTTGCATAAGTTAGGATTCAAACTTGGGTCTGAATTTCCAGTCCTACTATACAAGTGAAGAATTATTTCTCACCCCAAATCATGTAAGAATATTTTGTATATCCCTTTAGACAGGGAGATGAGAACTGACTTCTGTTCACAGGAACACGAAGTCATCTGGAAAGTAAAAAGTGCCCACTCAGCTGCGTGAGGATGGTGATGGAGGTTAATATTTTAGCTGTCCAGATCTAGGCAAACAGCATTACTTGGCACACAGCATGATCAAGATTACAGGCATGGACATGGACCCAATCCAAAGAGTTTTGTTTACAAAATCATAAGGGAAAACCCCCTCTCATTACCCAGTCTCACTTGTAGGAGCCTCTGTATCACGGATCTTAAGGATGGCTTTGATACTAAGGAGAGTAACAGTAAAATAGAAACTGTGCAATTTAGCCCCTGGATTAAGAGGAGCCTATGAAACAGGCTCCTCTCCAAGAAGGTACCCAGGATGGGCCTCCGGGGAAGTAAAAACAGTGCTCACTCCAGATGGCACAGTCCCGAATCCACCAGGCAATGTTCAGGTGAGCGGTCCCAGCTCCACAGACAAAAGCAAGGTCAGGTAAAGCAGGGTTCCTCCAGTTCCCTGACAGTTGTGTCTAGTTGTCGCTTCCTGTTTCCCTGAATGCTGACAAGTAGGATTTTCTGTTCTCTTTAATGTTTACATAGAAACCTCCCGCTTGGGCCCCACTTTATTCTTTAGCAGTAACAACTCATAGAGGTGCTTGGTGAGGAGGAAAAAACTGGACTAAACTCAGTTTTAAACCAGTTTAAAGCAGGGCTCCTTCCTACCTTTGGTCAAAGATCAATATACGCTAGATAATTGAATCATTTCTGCTCCAACCTCCTTCTCTATGGAACGGGAAGAGTTATGATGTTGTTTTTATGGAGTGTTTTAAGTATTTCTCAGTAAACAAACTCAAAATACTCTGGCTGTTCAATATTACACATGTGAATGATAAATAGGAATGAGTATCCATTTAAGAAGCACATTTCCAGAGTTATTTTTGGTGATTTCCCTGGTAAATTCATACACAAATATACCTCAGTAAGAAAAGGCTGAAGGTAAATGTGTTGAAATCTACAATCACTACCTGAGGTTTCTTTCTCTAGGTACTGCTAAAGAAAAATTAGCAAAATCTGCTTCAGCCACAGAGGGGTGGGCAATGGAAAGCCCAAAGAGACCCTAAACATAAGCAAGTTTGCACAAATCTGTCAGAGTGTCATTTTGGCCCTATGTAAAATAAAACAAGACTCTTGCTATGAAATGCAGAAGGAATGACCAGAACTAACTCCACACCATCAAACACTGGGCCTTGAAACCCATGCCCGCCTTTGTTATCCCACTCAGTGCTTTACTCCTCCTTTCCTGGGTCTTTGATAGATGTTCACCTAAAGCAGATGGTGATTCCAATCAAGGAAGGGGAAAACTAAAATTCTATACTCTGCACGATTCCCCCAATTAACGCTATGTGACTCATAAACACAATATTAGCAATCATAAATGAAAAGTGGTAACATGGTATTCCAAACAACCTTGCAGTTTTCCCTCCACCCCTCTCCTTTCCTTACTCACCCCCATGGCAGTCCATCTGCTGCAGAAAATGTGAAGGAGCCACTAGGAGCAGAGAGCCCTTTCTGCTATTTGCTTGAGAAAGCAAGCCTTCCCTCCTCCCAAGGTGAAAGAAATAAAGGAGTCTGAACTAATCAAAACCTGCAAGCCTGCTGGTGGCGCTTCAGCTTGTCAGTGCTGCAACTCAGCGAAGAGAGTAACGGCTTCGAGCTTTGCAGAAAATGAGAGAGGGAGAGAAACAGAGACAGAAACACAAAGAGAAAGAAAGAAAGGCATTAACCTGGCCAGGAGTCAAACAGGCGCTGGGGCCCCCGAACGCTGAGAGGAGGGTGGGGCCACATGGGATGCAGTGGATGTGTGACTCTGTGGGTGGGGCCACTTCTTTTTTATGGGGCAATGTTGTAGTTTGTATGCTAGGGTCAATGGAGAGACTGTTTTCCTTGTTCACAGGACTCATACAGTTGGCTGAGGACCTTTAACTTTCTCCACTTGACAGTATGAAGTCCTGCCATTTTCTGGCTCTTTATGAATTCTCCAGGAAAAGAAGTGGGCAGCCAGGTCACTTAGCACACAAACTTCCACTATAAACCACAAATCTGGGGGAGGGAGTGAATGTATCTTTCAAAGTGGATTTGTGAATTCGGAGGCTGCCACACTGCATGACATCAATGTGCTGTGGGCTTCATGGAAAGATGACCTCAGTCTGGAGTTGGCTGTCCAGAGGCCCCACATTGCCTTTTATGCCACCTGTGGGCCAACGGCACTTGAACTGACTGGTTTCTGATAAGGTTCCTGAGTTCACAGGTGCTCTCTTTTGGAAATGGCTAGTGTGGTGTCTTTAGGAATGGAGGACTGTGTCATCAATCTGTAATTTGGTGTAGAGGCAGATGTTAGGAAAAGAAAGGAACACAAGCAGAGGAAGGCCTGGCATAAGACCCTCAGGGGAAGGCCCTAATTACAAGACAGTGCTCCCCACATGGGATGTGATCAGCAGGACACTACCTGGGTAACATTAACTATGGTCTTAAATATGCCATCTCGAGTGGACTTTTCAGTCTCTTGACTTAAAATGTTCAAGTGTTTGATAACCCCATAATTCAGTAAACCTGGTTGCCTGTTCTCAAATCCTTGCCCACTCTCTAGTAGAGAGTTACTGCAAGTGTAGGTAAGACAGGCTTGGCCCATCCTACTCCCCTCCCCGGCCCCTGCACAGGGTTGGGCTTTTAGTTAAAGTTCAGTCTTTACCTGAAATACGCCTGGGCACGTCGGTGATGGCAGGAAGCCCAGTGCCCCGTGTGGAAGACAGCGGGGTGGTGGAGTGAATGGACGGGGACGTCATCTGGCTCAGGTAAGAGGGGTAAGACTGGTCATAGGACCACGGCGGGGAAGACTGTGCCTGCCTGGGGTCTAGGAAAAAGAAGACAAAAAAAAAAAAATCTTTAGTTTACCAGCCACTGCAGCCTTAGAAACATGCAACCCAAAACTTAGAAAGGGTAAAGCAGGAAAAACAATGAGAATACATAAGAACTGACTATTTCCTGTAGCCTCACCCTTTCATGCCCTTAAGAGCACAAGCTTTCTAGATTTCAAGCAACTATGAAAGCAACAAAATGGATCATGCATAAGGACTCTTTGTCCCACTTGCATATAAATATTTCTGCATGGAAAGTTTAATGGCCATTTAAAAAGCAATCTGCTTTGCTTATTTTCACAAAGTGGAATTTATTTTATTTTCTGTATTCTCTAAAATTCCTCCACTGAACATATTTTAATTTCTTTTTTAAAATTAGAGTTTTTTAAATTAACTTATAGAACTTAAAAACTATGTAGACTGTGCCCTTTTACTGTTGCATATCCAACTGCTATCTTTCAGACGTGCTTTTTGGTTTTCAAGTGAATGATTCCATGATTCCAGCACAGCAAAGGGCACTGGATGGTCTTTGCTAGCACGGGGGTTAAAGGACAGGGGTAGAGATGAGAATGGAGGGAGGATCATGAAGATGAATATGAAAGAGAGAAGAGGGTTGCACTGTTCTCGTGCTACTGTGAAAATAGAAAATAACCTTTCAGAACAAGAAAGAACTCAATTCCAAAGCCAACTACCATTAACAACTGACTTCACCAACCATCCCAATGTCAAGCATACACTTCTGACAGTAAGAAATGACCCAAAACAGGAGAATAGAAAATATTTTTAATCCTATTGAAAATGTCACCTATAATCAGTGTAATAAGAAGAAGAAAAAAACCCAGGAAACTGGTTAGGGTTAACCACTGAATACTAACAATGTCTTTTGATGTATCTCTGTGGAGTTTCTTGGAGGCAGAAACTCAAGGCTACGTAGATTTGTTAAAAGGCCTTGAAAAAAAAAAGGTAAATTTGCTATGTCTCCAACACAAAAGAGGATGCTCAAAATGTTTTGCTCTTACCTGGAGGCTAAGCAAACAGAATCATAAGCAAATTTCTCTTAACACATCTTTATGCTAACTTTCAAATTTTATGTTAATTTAAAAAATTCTAACAGATCAGGCTGTTCACAGGACAGCTTGATGCGTTAGAATATGTGGGGACTTTGGAATGTTCAGAAACAGGGTCAGAATTAGTTCTGAGACTTTTACTTTCTGGGTAATCTTGACTTAATTACTCAGCCACACTCATCTATAAAAGTGGGGTTAAAATACCTCAATGACAGGAGTGTGAGATTACCTGAGAAAAACTATCATGAAAAGTCTAGCACAAAAAACATTCAGTAAGCACTGATTCTTACCTTTATAAAAAGAAAAGAATTCTCGGTACCACAGAGGTAGTTCCATGTTTAAAACATACCTAAACTGAAGTGAATACATTTGGAATAGGCTTAAAATTACTCCATCGTCTATCACTCTTTGAAAATGAGCATTTTAATTTTCAAAAACTATTAATGTGCCAGGCATTGTGGCACATGCTTGTAATCCTAGCTACTTGAGAGGTGAAGGCAAAAAAGATCTCAAGTTTGAGGCCAGCCCAAACAAAGGTAGTAGTGAGACTCCGTCTCAAAAACTGCACAAAAGTCTGGGGCCTTAGCTCAAGTGGCAGAACACTTACCTAGCGTGCACAAGGCCTTGGGTTCAATCCTAGGCATTGCCAAACTCGGGTTTATCTCTACAAATAAAAATGAGTATATAGCAAGACACAAATTCTTCCTGAGATGATTCCTCTTGTAAAGCCTCTTGGTTTTTTAATACAACAAGGCAGTTGAGTTTAGCTATTTCTTGTTTATTTGTTCAATTTGAAAACAATTTATTTAAAGGCTGTCTAAATAGGACATACTTCCTTTGAGTGGAAATAATTAAATGCATCTGGATATTTATCTGATCTTCTCAACATCAGCAGATATAGAGAAAAAATTCATCCAATGTGATTGTAAGGCGTGTTCACCAGAGTTTGCAATTCTAATAGAAGTGTAGTACTATAAATGGTTCACAAATTTTCCTTCAGAAATCTAAAGGATACTTGATCATTAAAATTAATGAACTTCTGTGCTTTAAAACTCTCAAGGCTCAGAATGGCTAGATTGGCAACATTTCAAATCTTGAGTAACTGGAACTTGTTATACATCAGATATTGACAGACTCCCTTGCCTCACACCATGAATGTAGTTCCCTATTCAGAAAAATGGTGAGTGGCCTTCAGACCTTCAGATGGAAACAGATTCGTTCCTTAGAGCTCAGGAAAACAATCTCATAAAGGAAAGCCCTACTCTCAAGCGACATTTTCAAAAGATAAAAAGGACAAGAACCACAGAACTGAGTGAGATGGTCAGGCAGGACTACAATTTGGGTTGGAGTTCTACTCTAACTTCACCAGACAACTTCCAAAGCAAGTAGTTTAACCTGTATGTCCGTTCCTGTACTTTAACATAGTAGTAAGCTATGGCCCCTGCTTAAAATGGGAAGAAATACAAAAAGAAAGATAAAAAATGATTGAAGTTAACTTAAACATATCGTGGAGGAATGAGGGTTTTGACCCTGATGTAAGACACAGCCTTATCATTCTTATGCAGAGAGGCAGCCCAGAATAGTAGAACGCAAATGGACTTCCTCTCCATTTATAAGCTGTATGGCCATGGCTGGGTTAGCTAACAATCTCCTGTGTCCTCACCCAGAAAATGAGGCAGTGCGAAGCAAATGCAGCAAAGTGGCTATGCGTGCTGACTGGGTGGACAAACCCAGGCTAGACTTACAGCCAGCTCCATACTCTACCGAGCAAGTCACTTAAAACTGCTGGGACCCCAGTGGCTCACATGTGAAATGAGAATAATGACACTTAACTGATTTTTTTTAAACCATTACATGAACTAGGCCATATCTGATAAAGATATCTGGCACTCTTAATACATATTAAGTAGATAATAAATACAAGTGCTATCTGTGAAATGAGTACAATAATAACTACTGTTGTGCTCCTTTGGAAAATGAGATGAAGTAATATAAGTAAAAGCATTTTGATAACATGAAGTTCTACAATAAAACTATTATTATGTTCTTTAGGAGTTCGCCTGGCCAAGGCTCTGCCACGTGACCTGAGGTATCTTTCTTAATGTTGCTAAGCTTTAATTTTGTTATCTATTAAGTGAAGGTAATAGCACTATCTCAGACAGTTAGAGCCTCAGAGTGAAAGTTAAATAATATAGATGGAATGTCAAATCAGCATCATTATCAGAAAAGCAAAAACTTGACTCTAATGACATAGGGTAGCTGGGTTTACCCAGTTATTCTTAAAGACATCCAAAATTATACTCAGCATAATTAAGTATTCAACCTTGCACACAGTAGGTATGTAGTAACAGATATTGAATGACTCCCCAGACTGGCTTGAGTGAATAATAAAATGAAGTCATAATTAGCCATACTCTAATTTTCTCTTAGTCTATAAGAGTAAGGTTTTCGGTTTGACATAAACTTCCTGACTGCCAGAATGTATACTAGAATAGTCTGTGGAAGGATAGTTTTGCTTTCAGTGGAGGCTTTCGTGAAGATACCCAAAATGAGAGAAAAAAAAATAGCTTTTCACTATCCCTAAACAAGTGAAGAGTTCTTTCTTTGTTTTTTGTCTGTCACAGGATTGGCTGTAGTCCAGTCAATCTCTTTCAAGATCAACCATCCTAAGATTATATGATAATGATATGCTTAGAGAGAGTTACTAAAGAAAAACACTAGAATTCACTAGATTTGATAACATTAAAAGAGGGAGAGAATCAATCTTAACTAAAAAAGGACACTGTTCTCTAAATACCCCAGTCTTCTCTAATACCCTCAAAGGAGCAATCATCAATTCCAGCTCCACCATTTCTGGACTGAGTGAGTGGACAAATTACATAACCTTCAAGTTTCCTCATGCACAAAACGAGGAGAAATGAGAATATCTCCTCCCTCATAAGGTTATTTTGAAGATTAAGTGAGATGATGTAAGAAAAAGCTTAGCACGTGGAAAGAACCCAACCAACGTTCACCAGCCAGAGCCTCTCCCCTCACTGAACCTTCACTCTGCATCTGCTGCCAGTCCTTAACCTCTTCTTTCAGCAGAAGACAATTTTTAGAGAGTGTCCTATGTGTGGCTCACATTCTGAAAAATAGATCTGTGAATGTATCTATTAAAAGGTAAAAGATCTACACAATCTTTTAATAGTTACTTCTTAGTCATCTTTTTAGTGTATGTGAAAATACTGTACACTCTTTTTAAAATATTTTAGTGGGAAAAATGGCTGTAAAATACTCTGACATCCTAAATAATCACCAAGAAAATATAATCCTATCTTAAATATATGGTTACAACATTTTCAATTTTTTTTTTTTTTTATGGACAACAGTTACTGCTTACAGTAGAGGAAAGTCACCTTAACCTGATCTCATGAACAGTTTCTGAACTGTACACCCTGAAGAAACCTGAGACTTCTGAGATTCACTCAGAATTTGGATGAATCAGAGCTGGTGATAGATGATTTTTAGGTATTGCCAATCAAACCTAAAGTCACTACTTAGGGAAGATACAGGGCCTTGCACTGAAACCAACCTTTTAATTAACCATAAACAAACAGGAATGTGTCCTTATCTCAACCTCAGGTCCCACAGAGCAGGTTTAATCCACTCCTTCACTGGGCCTCATCCAGAGTTACACTGGCTGGTTTGTCTTCCTGAGCCTGCAGAAAGGCTGAGGGAAGTACGTGCTACCATTACCATTCCACCATAAGTAAGAACAGCCTTAACTTTTATGTCTCAGAGGACAGAGGTGTCGAACATGGCCTTCAGGTGATAACCTGGGTGACCTGAAACCCCTAAAAGCATCTCCAAGTTTTTAGAAGATAATTCAACACTATTTCACAGAAAATGCCAAAAGAAATGTTGAACTTTAAATCTTCCCATGATGT